TGCGCTAGTACCTCTTGCCACAAGTTCCCAGAATCCTTTGCGGTTTTACCCCTGAGTGACGTCGCATTTTTGGTGGGCCGGTCTCTAGTCAAAATGCCCGGGCCGATTTTTTGTCCCAGTCCAGCCCTGTCTGTGTGTATGTTGTAAACTCATTGTTTGTTCAATAAAGTTCTTGTTTAAAAAAAAGTATCCTGTATCGCAATATTTTGGAATAAAAGGTTTATAGGATGTACTTAAAATAGATAAGAACAATCGACTTTGACAGCAAAAACTAAATTGTGTTTTTGTTACTATTGATGCTGCTGAGAAATAAACATGGTTCTAATTAAATGTTTTTCGACCCTCTGGGTTTGTTCAAAAATCCCTTCAGCTTGTTCGTGGACAAAAGTGTCAGATTAGGTCTGTAATTTTTATTCGTTTTATGGGTTTTTTGATACTTTTTCTGCATAAAGTTTTTTTTTCACAAATATAAAATAGTCATTACGTTTTACATTTTTAACCCTTAAAACAACATTTTTTTTGGTACAATATGCTTGTTGGAAGAAAACCTCAAAACTCCCCATTTCATATATTAGCAGTGCTACTTGTGTTATTAATAGTAGAGTCTGGGACATGTAATTGATTACCATCAACATTGATTATTATGTATTGTTATTTTGGGGCAAGGAGAGCAAAAAAGATAAAACTCCCTCTCAGCTTGTTCATGACCACAAATGGCCACCTTTTGTTTACGTTCACAAAATGCTACAAGATTAATATTTATAAGTTGACTCTTTAAATTAGCACCAGTCCTTGTCATCAAAACTAAAACTTTATCTAAATTCATTTTTTAACCCTTTAAATGCCAGTTAGATTATATATTACCAGTAACTTTTCAGATAAAAAGGTGATGGAGTTCAAATGTTTTCACCATCTCATTGATGAAACTAACTTTTTTTCATCTCAGCATCGGGGAGAAGGCTGTTAATTGTTAAGGTCACTAGTGTGCGCCCCATTTCTTTGAGGATCACTCTTCAGTTGTAGGTTTTAGAGGACTCCTACTACTGTGAAGTGGTTTTATGGGACAAAGGCATTGTTTTCCACATCATCCAGGAGATTGTAGAACAGAGCAGTGATGCCCTTCTTGCCAGAAAATAAGTGATCTGGAAGCTGTTAGGCTTACTTACAGCAGCAGCCCTTTCTGCAGCTGCATGAACTCCAGGACACATTTACGAACGGTGTTTGTTGCTGTTTGTGTTGCAGCTTTGATTTTTCTCTTTTCTTTTTTAAGAGTTAATATTTCAGCTATGGTATCTTGAAAAGTACAAGAGTAAAAGTGCTTTTAGCAGGTGCTTCAAAGCTAAGTTTGACTGGGAAACTCAAAGCTCAATAGTGCATCCACAGAAATTCACTGCAGCCTGTGTAGTATTTGATGTGTCATAATCTATTCCAGTCTGTCTTGCAAATACATATTTGTGCTGCAATGTCATGCACAAACACAAACTATGAGATCCTTAAAATCAAACTTGCATTAGTGATGCACCGATACCGATACTGG